GAAGGAAGGAAGGAAAGAGAAAGGAGGGGAAGAAAGAGGGAGGGAGAGAAAGGGAGAGAGAAAGAAAGGAAGGAGAGAGAAAAAAAGGAAGAAAGAAAAGGGGGGAAGGAAGGAAGGGGAAGGTAAAGAAATGTTTGTTGATTGAATTTTCTTTTTTTTTCCTTTTTGCCTTTCTCAACAGGCTTCGGAAAAACCTGAAATCCTTAATCATTGTCCACCCCTCTTGGTTTATTCGAACAGTGTTGGCCATCTCCAGGCCCTTCATCAGGTAAGCAAGGAACCTTCTGACAAGTTTGAGTCAGAGGGGTGAAGCAAAGAGGAGTCTCTCCAACAGAGGTCCCTGATCTCTCACATGCAGAACCAAAAAGCAATGGAAGTGTGGCAAAGTGTAAAGAACACTGGCCTTAGGGTCGAGTCCTTGCTCTGCCACTTACTGGTTGTGTGACCTTGGGCAAGTTTCTCAGAATCACAGATTTAAAGATGTACAGGATTCTAAAGACCATCAAGTACAACTCCTTTATTTTGCAGTTAAGGAAACTGAGGCCCACAGAGACAAGGTCACACAGATAAGAAGTAGTAGATCCAAAAATCTGCACCCAGGTGGTCTGACTCCAAATATAGGGGTCTTTCCACTGTAACATGCTCTTTCATCTCCTAGCTGAGCCTCACTTTCCCCATATGTAAAAGGAGAGAATTGTGGGCTAGAATTGTGGGTCTCTGAACTTCCTTCAAGATTTGATTCAGTGAATCAGCTCCCTTGGGCATTAGTGAGAGCTTCCTCTGTTGTAAGATAACGTATACACATCTTAAAGCAAGAGAGAGAGAGAGAATTATCATCATCACCACCATCTTCTTCATCATCTCTGGAGGTGATGGGGATAATTAGAAGTGACAGCTGAATTACCATCCATCAAGTAAGCTGTAGAAGAAATGCCTGCATGCCATAGGTGACCTCTATGATCCCTTCCAGCTCTTCATTCATTCTCCATCTGCCCTCACTAGCTACGTGATCATGGGCAAGTCACTTCTCTACCCCTAAATTTCCTCATTAATAAAACAAGGGGTTGGACTCGATCAAGTGTTTGTAACCTTTTAACATATCTGAGGCTCCCCTTTGGCAATCTGGTGGAACTTATGGACCCCTTCTTAGAATTGTATTTTTCAATGCATAATATAAAATACATAGAATTCCAAAGAAACTGATTATAATGAAATACATTTATAAAAACTTTTTTAAAAAAAACATGTTCAGGGACCCCCAGGTTAAGAACTCCTGACTAAATGATCCCTAGAGTGTCTCTCAGACTCTAAAATCTTTGATCACTTTTCATCACTCACCTCCACCCAACTGTGATCAATTTCACCTACACCTCCATTGTATTTTCATCCTAGTGTAAAGTTCATCAGTAAGATCCAATATGTACACAGCCTGGAAGAATTGGAACAGCTCATCCCCATGGAGCACGTGCAGATTCCTGATTGCATCCAACAGTAAGTGTCAGTTCTGCCCCAAAGCCTGGAATGCCCACCTCCTGCAGAGCACCTTCTCCATGACCTAGCTTGCCAGACTCCATCTCAGGACCTCTCAGGCCTCTTGCTCATATATACTCAGAGCACATCAGAAGCACTGTATCCCCTCCTGGGAACCACACTTCAAATGCAAAATCCTCCACTTAACTCCCTGCCATTTCTCCTTAAGGCCTGGAGAGGGATTCTAGTCTTTCAAAAGCTGTGCCAATGCAACTCAAGCTGGGACAGGTCCCACCAACTGAGAAAGACTTCAGGTAGGGGGCCTCATGATGGATTGATGTATCTCTTGTCAGAAGGGCCAGTGACTTTCATCACCAGAATGCTGGCCACCAGGTGATGAATTGTGTGTGGTGTGTGTGTGTGTGTGTGTGTGTGTGTGTGTGTGTATAGAAACTCATGAAACTATCTGATAAGGAATGGAAAGGGCTGCAATCTGGGTTAGTGGTGGCATTTCCCATACCAATGAAATAACAGATCCTTTGAAGTCTATAGAAATAAATTCTCTAGTAAGCATTCAAAGGAAAGGACTATGATGAAGAGGCATCTGGAAACTGTCTTATGATGAATGGTTGAAAGAACTACAGGTACTTAAATTGGAGAAGAGAAGATTTAGTTGAAGGGAAAGGCAACACCAATGATCCCTGTCTATACATTTAAAGGGTCACCATACAGAAGGAATAAGTGGGTTTCATAGCTCTAGGAATCAGAATTGCGACCATGAGATCTCAGGGTTAGAAGAAACATCAGAAGGCCTTCACATTCAGCAACATGGTCATCTAGCCTTCACCTGAACAATTACAATGATGGGAAATTTAGCTCTCCTGAAACAGTCCATTCCACTTTTAGACAGCCCTGATTGCTACAATATTTGTCCTTATATCAAAATTTGACTCTAGAACTGTTACCCTTTGTCCCGTTTCTGCCTCATCTGCTTGATAGCCCCAATCCCTTCTAACAACAAGACTGGATGATTCTACCCTGTGTGTATCTCTCTCTCTGCATGTTAAAGCTATTCAGGTGCTGTTAGTGAACAAGCATTTACTAAACACTTAATAAGTATCAGGCTCTATGCTAAGCACTAGAAATACAAGGAAAGAAAAAGGCAAAAAAGTCCCTGTGCTTAAGGAGTTCATATGCTACTGGGGAAGACAACAAAAAAATAACTATTTGCAAATGAAATACATCCAGTGTAAATAGGAGGTAATCTGAGAGGAAAAGCACTAGCAGTGGGTAGGCTAGGAAAGGCCTCCTGCAGAAGGTCGGATTTGAGCTGAATCTGGAAGGAAGCCAGCAGTCTGCCATGAGGAGGGAGAACATTCCAGGCATGGAGATTAGCCAGTGAAAATGCACAGAATTGGAAAGTGGAGTGTTGTGTGTAAGGAATACCAAAAAGGCCAATGTGGCTGGATCCCAGAGTACATGGAAGGGAGTAAAGTTATTGGACCAAGAGCCATCCTCAGGTCCCCTTGATTTAGTTATGTGCAGTACTTTCAATTCCAAGTGAGATATTGAGAGATCAATATCTGACAGCCAGAGTCCTGCACCCTGTGAATGAGGAAGGGCTCAGAAAAGTGGTCATGGTCACCAATATTGCTATCCTTCTGATAGAATCTTCATCATCTGTGATGTTCTTTGTGCCTACAACTTCATGGTGCTTCCATGGTTCACACACCACACAAGAAAAACAGTTTGCACATGCAACCAGATCCCCAACAGCTACACACAAAGGCCTCACTTGGGTTTCTTTCTCTCCCTCTTGTCAAGGCAATCAGCTCTATGACCACAGTATAAGGGACAGTTTAGGGAATGCCAGCTCAGAATTTCTGTATCTCCCTGTCTTTGTCTATGCTAGCCACGCAGCATTGAACTGAGAAACCATCTTCATTAGTTAGTACAACTGATAGCTGCCCTGCCTCTCTGACTGTACTAACATGAGCAATACTGGATGCAAAAGTTTTACTGTGTATTTTAATCTTATTAGGATATAAAAACAATTATTTCTACACTCTCTACCAAAGGGTATCTAATGTGTTCCAGAACAGAAGGTTATAGGACTTCTCCTACAGCTATGAGCTATGTCTTATTCTTTTTTCTTCTTTCAGATATGAAGAAGAAAGAATCAAGGCCAGGAGAGAAAGGTATGTAACACTTTCGTGTATGTGATCAGGAGGAGTTTGGGGAGGAGTTTGTGGCCATATTGAAATCTAGTAACCAACATACTATAGCTCCACTACCAATGGAATGAGCATAAAGCAGATTCACAAAATCCTGGAATCCCCTACATTATCAGGAAAATGGAAGAGGTCTTCAATGTAAAAATAAAGGAAAGAAGGGATCTGACATTCTGAGCCACATGAAGAGTTTGGTGAACCAACAGGTGAATATGATATAGAGAATAAAGGAAGGAGGACTACTGAACACTTGGAGCTGAGTAATTGACATGAGGCCCCTCCTTGTAAATTAGAGATTCTTAACTTGGAGTTCATTAAATTGGGATAGATAGATAGATAGATAGATAGATAGGTAGATAGATAGCTATAAATATAGATATGTATCCACATATGTATATATGTGTGTATCACATGACCTCATTTGGGGTTTTCTTAGCAAAGATACTGGAGTGGTTTGCCATTTCCTTCTCCAGCTCATTTTACAGATGAAGAAACTGAGACATACAGAGTTAAATGACTTCCCCAGGTAGTAAGTGTCTGAGGCCAGATTTAAACTCAAGAAGATAAAGCTTTCTGACTCCAAGCCACCTAGCAGCCTGTACATACACACACACACACACACACACACACATTAATACACATACACATATATATGTATATATTGATAACCATATGCCAATAGAATTGGTTTCCTTTGCAATTTACTTCATGCACTTAAAAATATTATTCTGAGAAGGGATGCATAGGTTTCAGAATGATAAAGGATTTCGTGATACCCCTGTTACAGATGGAAAAGCTAGATTCTCTAAAGAGAAAGCATCTGCTTAGTTGCTAAGGTATCTTGCTGTGAATCAACAGGTGGTACCAGGAGAGAGAGGCAGAGGAAGAAAAGATGAGTAGTGGTGGATGAAAACATTTTGCCAATAGGTACTGAAGCTCATGTTTGATGACCTGACATGAACAATTAAAAATGTCAGCATGTATCTTGCGTGTAATAGAAGGGCCTCCCAAAACTTGTCAAACTAGATGACCACTAATTGCTTCTAATGATTTATGTGGGGACAAATAACACTGTCAGAAGGAACCTTGAAAATATTGCTAGAGATTATGAAACTCCTCTAAGAACCAAAAAAAAGCAGTGTTCAGTTTTTTGTTGTTCTTGTTTTTAGTTTTGTTAGAGCCAAGAAGAAGATCAAGAAAGGATGGAATCACACTTGGGAGTAGGAGGATCAATGAAAAAGAAGGAAGATCCATTCAATGCTTATTTAGGAAATAAGCATTTATTAAGCACCTACAATGTGCCAGGCACTGTGCTAAGTACTTTACAAATATAATTTGATTTGTTGTTTAACTTCTGTTTTCTCTGCTAAAGAGAATGACTCAAGACTGAGAAAGATGAAACAAATATTGTCAATAGAGAATTGAAACCCAAAGAGGAAAGAGTACCCAGCTATATATTAGCATGTACCATCCAGGCTCTATGCCTGACTATGTTGCCCTCAATGAGTTCAAGTCACCAGGACTGGACAAGCTACATCCTAGGAAATTGAAAGTAGTGAAAGTGACTGCTGAGATACAATCAATGATGCAACAGGACTGGAGACAGGAAAGTTTCTTGATTTTCTAGGAAAGACACGAGAGCAAAGTCTTCCCCAATGGACTCGCCTTAGAATCCTGATTGAGGACTTACAAATGGAAACAGTGATGATTAAGAACCAGCGTAGATTGACTAATGACAGACTAACCTCACTGCCATTTTTGACAGGGTTTGGAAATGTCAGAAGCTTAGCTTAGTCAACAGCTTGACAGAGTATCTCAGGGAAAATTTTCTCATGAAAACGATAGACATATCCAGATAGCTGAGCTTGTACATTCAAAGAGATTCAGAGCTACTTATTTGGCCAGACTCCAAGAGTTATCAAGAATAAGTTGATGTCAGATTGGAGGGAGACCTATTTGAGGATCCCAGGGATCTCTTCTTGGTCCCATGCTAGTAAAGTTTTTATCAACGACTTTGCATGTGCATGCACTTACACACAAACACACATGTATACTACATATGTATATTTGTGCGCATGTATATATGTATTATAACATATATACAGGGTTCCTAAATGTCTTAGTGTAGTTTTCTGTTATTAAAAGGTTTAAATTGCATTAAGACTTTGGGGACACCAGATTAGAGAGATAGATAGATAGATAGATAGATAGATAGATAGATAGATAGACCAATAGATTGATATACACCCTTTCTCTCCACTGACACTGCCACTATTCATGCAGGCCCTCATCACCTCATGCCTTGATTACTGCAATAGCCTCCTGGTGAATCTCACCCTACTCCAATCCATCCTCTGTTCAGGACTGTGATTTTCCTAAAGTACAGGTTGATTATGTCACCCCCTACTCAATAAACTCAGGTGGCTCCCTATTGCCTCCAAGATCAAATACAAAATCCTCTGTTTGACATTCAAAGCCGAGAGTAGGAGCATGATAGAGAGGAGGGCAGATTGGGAAAGGGAGTAATCAGAAGCAAATACTTCTAAGGAGAGACAGGGTCAAAAGAAAGAATAGAACAAATGGGGGGGGCAGGAAAGGATTAAGGGAAATAGAGTTAGTTTTCACGGCCTGTCTACTATGGAAGTGTTTTGTGTAACTGCACATGTATAACCTATATTGAGTTGCTTGCCTTTTCAATGAGGGTGGGTGGGGAAGGAGGAAGGGAGAAAATTTGGAACCCAAAGTTTTAAAAACACATGTTTAAAAAAAATGTTTTCACATGCAACTGGGAAATAAGAAATACAGGAAATGGGGTACAGAAATCCATCCTGGCCTACAGGAAAATTGAAGGGGAAGGGGATAAGAGAATGGAGGAGAGATAGAAGGGAAGGCAGACTAGGGGAAGGGGTATTTAGAATGCATGCCATCCTGGGGCAGGGGGAGGGGTGAGATGGCGTGAAAATTTGAAACTCGAAATCTTGTGGAAGTAAATGTTGAAAAAAGAAAATAAATAAATAATTACCAAATTAAAAAAAACCATAAACAAAAAATAAAATAAAAGTAACATTCAAAGCCCTTCATAACCTAGCCCCCTCCTACCTTTCCAATATTCTCACACCTTACTCTTCAATTCTTCGATCCAGTGACACTGACCTCTTGATTGTTCCACAAACAAGACACTGCATCTCTCAGCTCTGGGCATTTTCTCCAGCTGCCCCCCATACCTGGAATGCTCTCCCTCCTCCATTCTGACTACTGGCCTCCTTGGCTTCCTTTAAGTCCCAATTAAAATCCCACCTTCTACAGGAAGCCTTCCCTAACCCCTCTTAATTCCAGTGCTTTCCACATTTTAATTACTTCATATTTATCCTGTATGAGGCTACTTTGCATAGAGTTGTTTGTATTTTGTCTTCTCCATTGGATTGTAAGTTCCTTGAGGGCAGGGGCTGTCTTTTGCCTCTTTTTGTATCCCTAGTACTTAGCAGAGTGCTTGGCACATAGTAGATGATTAACAAATGTTTATTGATTGGTATAGAAATAGATATTGATTAATTTGGAAGATTTGCCAAGGAACTATGAAAACCATAGCATAGAAAGTGTTACAGGTGTGCATGTGGGTTTAGACAATGAAAGAATCAGAGTAAACAAGTATACGTAATAAACTTAGGATCCATGAATGCGCATTTGAGACTTGGGATGGGAGCATAGAGTATGACCTAAGAGTGAGTATGAATGCTACTGAGAACTTGAGAAGTCATGGCACTTTGGGGGAATAGCCTAAGAGGAACAGAGGCCGGAGAGAACATGCGTAGGGGTAGGCTATGACCTGGTCAATTGGATCCCAAACCCACTATCTACACGTTATGGGTGAGCCATGATGAAAAGTTGTAAGATTCAGTTTTGGCCAGTGTAATGATTATGGGAATAGGAACTCTTCTTGGTTTCTGTTTTCAGAGGAAAGTACCCTTGGGAGGGGCTGAGGCGGGCCTGGGTACCCTTTGGCACTGGGGGACATGACAAGTGGAGACCTTGAGAAGGAGGCTGGATAACCACATGTTGGAGATGTCTATTAGGCGAGAAGGGTTCCTATTCAGCTCACAGCCTAGATGCCTCCTGAGGCTATTTTAACTCCCTCAGTCTCTGAGTCCCTGAGATCACAAATGTGCTTGGTTCCTTACAGGTCAGAAGAAAAGCCAGAGACAGTGGAGGAAAGGTAAACAATTGATTGTTACAAGTTACAAGACCCAGATCTGCCACTTGTTAGCTGTGTGACCTCAGGCAAATGATGGTTCAATCAGCTCTATAATTCACCCACTGCATGACCTTAGACAAGTCACTTCCCTTCTCTAGGCCTCAGTTTTCCCGGCTCTAAAATGAGTCAGCTGGACTATAGGATGTCTAAGGATGTACAAGGATGTCCTTGCAGTTCTAAATCCTGTCTTCCTCAGTCCTAGTTTCTTTCCATCACACCTTGATGGCGAATAGCTTTACCAATCTAGAAGGTCAGCACAGAGTCAGATCCCTCAAGGGAAGGGATGGAGAGGAACAGAAGGGCATGGCAGATACTCCACAACTAGACATAATAGATTATTAAAATTTAATCTTGTACCTCCCCCCAAAATGAAACTGAATGTGGTATGATTATCATGACCAGACAACCCCAGCAATGAGAAAATGCACCTCCTTCCCTTGATTGTAGAGCTAGGGGTCTATGGATGTGGAACATTGCATATACTTCCAAACTCAAGTGGTGTGTTGGTTAATTTTTCTGCTTTTTTCTCTTTCTTTTTTCTTCTTTGTTACAAGGTTGAGGGGAGGGGCAGGAGAGAAGAGAGGGATATATTCATAAATGGAGGTGATGTAAATACAAAAAATATCAATAAAATTAACTTTTAAAAAAGGTAAATTAAGTTGTAAAGGGGACATTTGAACAGGTATGGGTTGAGTCCAATAGGCTCTAAGGTCCTTTGCCACTCTGAGATTCTATGATTTTCCGAAACAAAATATAATGGTCTTAGTCCAGAAAAGTGCATGGCCACTAAATTTTTGCAAAACTTCCTCCTTCCTTGACAACTCTCAGGAAAATTCCCAGGTGACCAGGTATGGTAGTGAATGTCTATGAGCCCTGCTACAAGGGGAGAGGGGGCTGAGGCTAATGGATCACTTGTGCTCAGGAGTTCTATGCTTCAGGAGGCTAAGCCAATTGGGTATCTACACTAAGTCCCACACTGATATTGTGAGCCCCATCCCAGTGCAGGGGACCACTAGGCTGCCAAAGGAGGCCAAATTGGCCGAGGCTGGTAACAGAGGAAGTCAAAGGTCCTGTGCTCATCAGTAGTGGGACCAGATGATGTGGCTGAAGAAAGATCCTCAGTCCCTCTCAGCTTAGCTAGGAGGGATTCTCTGGTTGAACTTGTACCTAAAGCCTTTCAAAAATGATAGGATACACCTGAGTTTGTATTCCCTTCAGTGACTCCAAAAACCCTTTATTATTTCATCAGTCATTAATCTCCCTGCCACCAATCTCTCAATTCTCCCTCCACACATTTGCCAAAGGCCTCTTCCTAGTGCATGGGTCTGAGCATATTACTACTCTGCTCAAAAACCTTCAGTGGTTCCCGATTGCCTCTAGAATAAAATGCAAGTCCTCAGCCTAGCATTTAAGATCTTCTATACTCTGGCTCCCACCTACCTTTTCAGCCTTATTTTGTATTGTTTCCCTTCATGCACATTCCATTCCATCCAAACTGGCCATTCTGGCTCCAACCTCCAAACATTTGCACAATCAGCCTTTCTCATGTCTGAAATGAAACGTGTTGCATCTCAGAATTCTTCTCTTCCTTCAGCGCTCACCTCAGACACCACCTCTGGTACGAAGACTTCCTTGACTTCCCCACCCCTTAGTGCTCTCTTTTCCTCTAATGATCTTATATTTACTTGTTGTATCAATGGTGAATCCCCTTCCCCACCAGTAAAATGTAAGTTCCTTGAGGGCAGAAGCTGCTTCGTTTTTCTCTTCTGTATCTGCAGCACCTCACACATGTAGTGGTCTTGGTAGGGGTTATACACAGAGTAGGTGCTGAGTAACCTTTTGTGGAGTTGAAACCCAGAGTTTGTTAGGCATCTCCCAACCTGACCATCTATCTCCTCATGTGGCAGGGTGTGGAGGGGACCCTAGGTTCTACCAGGCTATGCCAATGGGGCACAGACTCTGGTTAGTGCTACTTTGTATGATAGGCTATAAGTATCAGCCCAACCAGAGATAATGTGCCTGCATCCAGAAGGACCCTCCCTCCTCACTAGGCATGGAGACATCTTTGGCCACAGGGATGGTCACCAGCTGACAGACTTTGTCAACCACAAGTAAAGGAGAATTGTCTACAAAGGCATAGAAAGATGGCATCTTGGTTGGTGGAGAGCCAGAGGGGGGCCTACCTGGAGAACTCAGATCTTTATTATATTGAAGAAGTGGTGATACACAGAGTGATCACCTCACTGTCATTTCTTTTGCCTCCTCAATAGGTCTTCAGTGGTCACAGAAGATCAGGAAACAAGGTTTGTAGACAAAACTTGGGGTTGAGTTCTTTATTTCAGAGATTCATAGAATGTTAGGGCTAGAAGGAACCTTTGAGCTAGGTGGCTCTGGACCTGAAGTCAGAAAGACCTGAGTTCAAATCCAGCCTCAGATACTTACTAGAGGTATGACTCTTGGCAAGTCACTTAACCTCAGTTTCCTCAAATGTAAAATGGGCATAATAACAGCACCTATCTCCCAAGGTTGTTGTGAAGATCAAATGAGATATTTATAAAGTGTTCTGCAAACCTTAAAATGCTATTTAAATACTACTCTAGTCCAACTTCTCATTTTACAGTTAAGGAAAGTGTGATTGCTAGAAGTTAAGCAAATACCCAGGAACACACAGATAACAACAGTAATAATAATAATAATAATAATAATAACAACTGGTATTTATATAGCCCATAACCCCAAGCTAAGGATGGAACTGAGGACATTTAGCCTAGAGAAGAGAAGACTTAGATGGGATATGGTCACTTTTCAAGTATCTGAAGGACTGTCACATGAAAGAAGGACTGAATTTTGCTTGGCTCCAGACAACAGAATCAAGAGAAATTGAGAGATATTTAGAGGGGCAGGTTTAAGCTGGAAATAATTAAAAACTTCCTAACAATGTGAGCTGTTCCAAGGTGAAATGTGTTGCCCCAAGTGGTAGTGAGTTCCCCATCATTGAGGTCTTCAAGTGGAGGCTGGGTGATCTCTTGCTGGAGATGTTGTAAATCAATCAATCAACGAGCTTTTATTAAGCACTTGCTGTGTGCCGGACACCATGCTAAATGCTATACAATACAAAGACAAAAACAGTCCCTTCCCTCAAGGAGCTTAAGTTCTAATTGGGGAGACATCGTATAAATAATTATGTACAAGCAATATAAATACAGATTAGATGGAAAATAATCTCACAAGAAAGGCAGTAAGTGCCCCTGGGCAGGGGTGGGGGTGGTGTGGGGTGGGGTGGAGTGGGAGAGAATTGGGGAAAGTCTCCTGCAGAAAGTGGGATTTGAGCTCTGTCTTCAAAAGAAGTTAAGAAAAGGTAAAGAGAGATAGTATTCAGGCATGCAAACCAACATTAAAAAGGGGGCTGGGATGTGGTGTTTGTGCCAGGAGGAACAAGTAGGCCAGTGCAGCTGGATTGTAGACTGAGTGAAGAGGAGGCAAGTGTTTTGGGAAAGTAGGGAGGGGCCAGGTTGGGAAGGCTTTCAATGCCAGAGGACTTTCTGCTTGATCCTGGAGATAACAGGGAGCCCCTGGGGCTTATTGAGGAGTGGGAGTGCACGCATACTTGTGCATTAGGGAAATCAGTTTAGCAACTGAGTTAAAGATTTATTGGAATGAGCAGGGACTTAAATTAGGGCTTGTACTAAGGATGTGGCAGTGTGAGTAGAGAGAAAGGAATGAATATGGGAGATGTGAAGGTAGAAATGACAAGACTCGGCAATAGGTTGTATATATGCAATGAGTGTAAGAGAGGAGTCAAGAATGATATCAAGATTATGAGCCTGGGTGAGACTGGGAAGATAGGAAGGTTTGGGGGGAAAGATAAGGAGCTCTATTTTGGACATATTAATTCAAGCTAACTTTGGGACATCCAGTTCAAGGCGTCCAAAAAATACTGAATGATGGAACTAACTAGCTCAAGAAAGAGACATCGGCTGGATATGTAGAGCTAGGAATCATGTGTAGAGATGATAATTGGAGATAGAGGAAAGATAGTGTAGAGGGAGAAGAGAAGATGGCCCAGGGCAGAGCCTTGGGAGGCAACCACAATTAGTGTGACCTGAATAAAGGCCCAACGAAGGAGACTGAGGTAAGAAGAAAACCAAGAAAGAACAGTCTTGGAGAGGAACGACTACCCAGGAGGAGATGGATGGTGATCAGCAGTATTGAAGGATGCAGAGAGAAGAGTGAGGATTGAGAAAAGGCCATTAGATGGCAATTTTAAAACCATTAATAACTTTGGAGAGAGCAGTTTCAACTCAATGATAAGGTTGGAAGCCAGACTTCGTGGGGTTTAATAGCAAGCAAGAGGAAAGGAAGCGGAGGCAATTAATGTAAATGACTTTCTAGACGAGTTCAGCAGAAAACCAGAGAGACCTTGAACAATGGTTAGTGGGAATAATCAAATCAAGTAGGGGTTTTTGAAGGTGAGATGCAAGTGTGTTATAAAAGAGCGGGTAAACAGGGAAATTTTAAAGATTTGAGAGAGAAGGGGGACGATCTTAAGGAGGGGCAATCCGCAAGGGAGGAAAGAAAGGCAGCATGGGATCAAGGGTACATACAGAAGGACTGGCCTTGGCAAGGAGAAATATCACTTCTTTATCAGACAGGGGTGAAGGAGAAGATAATAGAGGAGGATATCTGAGTGATGTGAGATGAGGAGGGGAGAAGAGAAAACTCTTAGCCAATGTCCTAAAATGTTCAGTGAAATATGAATATAGGTCCATAGCTGAGGGGTTAGAGGAAGAGAGGAAGAAGTGTGGAGGAGGGCTCAAGGAAAGATGAAAAGGTATGGAACAGCTGCTGTGGTGAGTGGGATAGTATGGTGAGTAGGGAGGTGTAAACAAAATTGCCTTACTGCAGTAGGAGCCCAGGTGAGATTATGTAACATAAATTTGTAGTGAATTCGGTCAGCATGATTTCGTGATTTTCCCCATGCTCCATTCAGCGGCACGTGAATAGGAAATAAGGCAGTGGATGGTGAGAGCAATCCAAAATCAGGATTTGCAAGGTATGATTGGTGATAGGACAAAGGGACAAGGGATTCAAGAGTGGAAGATAATGTAGATTTCAACTGAATCTCCAAGAAATCAAAATAGGGAAGGGAGAAGGGTATATATCCAGTCCAGAGGTGATGGTCTGGGAAAGAACTGAGGAAAGAGAGACTGGCAAGTACAATAAGAATGAAGAACAGGCTCAGGGGTCATATGGCAAAGGAAAAGATGAAATGATAAAATATCGTGAGCAGAGAAAGGAATTTTGAAGTTCCTAAACATGGGAGAACAGCTGGTGGGTGATGGCAAGATGAAAGGTATGACTATTTCTGCATGTAGCTGCAGCAGAATAGGGGAGTAGGTCATGAGAACTAAGCAGATTAAGGAAATGGTAAATCAGGTTCTGTGAGAGAGTATTAATGTTGAAGTCCCCTAGTATAAAAGCCGGAGTTTGGGCAAAGAGAAAAATTGTAAGCCAAGCAATTAACTTGTTAGGGAAAGAAGAAAAGTATCCTAGACAGGGGTGTGCTGGAGCCAGCTCACACCAATACTTGAGAGCCAATTGCTAAATTTTCATAAATTTCATTTGAATTTTATAAATTTAAATTTATACCTTGGAAATCAGCAAATGCTACAAATCGGGGCTTGATGTATTGTTCTGTTGATTTCTATGTGTAAGAAAGTGATAATGGAAATAGTAATGATGCAGGTTAAACTTAAAAGTGTGTGGTATGGACATTTTTTGTTGTTTCTGGAGAGCCAGTTGTTAAATAGTTACCAGTACACCACAGGTCCTGGGGGTTAGTAGAGAACAGCCACCAGCATGTGGTTGGATGATAAATTTGAATATCATGGATCTCAAAGGAGAAGTTGCTTAGGTAGAGGAAGAGTCTGGAAGTAGCACGAAGAGCAAGAAGTATTACAGCTCTCCTACCGTGACCAGTGAGGAGAGGAGAGAAGGAAAAGGATGAGTGAAGATGCCTTCTTTTGTATCCATCAGTGGCTTTCTTTTTTCTTTCTAAAATTAACCAAATTGGGGCAGCTAGGTGGCGCAGTGGATAGAGCACCGGCCCTGAAGTCAGGAGGATCTGAGTTCAAATCCGACCTCAGACCAAACACTTGACACTAGCTGTGTGACCCTGGGCAAGTCACTTAATCCCAATTGCCTAAAAAAAAATGAATAAATAAAAAATAAAAAAATTAAATTAAATTAACCAAATCTATGTTTCTTCCTCTAGCATGTCATGAATCCAAGCTCCCAGACATGGAAGCAAAGAAGAAATCCAGTTACCAGTCACTTCCTGTACACACCCTTCCTGGTACCCACCCGAGCTCATCACCACCTCATTCTGAATGCCATCCTACCAAAGGCACCACCTCCCATCTGTCTCAGACATCTCACATCCTCTACAGCTTCTTGAAAATGTTTTATTTTTTTAACAGCTCTGTATTGGCACTTTCCCAAACAGGATCACCCTCCTATCCCTTCTCCTTTCCCACTCCACAGCCCTCAAAGGGATGTGAGCAGAGAAGAAAGAAGTGGAGATAGAAGGGATCTGTCTTCATCTCCCGTAGCCTTCACTCTATACTCCTTATTCCGGTTACAGCCCCAAATTAAGTGATATGTAAAAGGGCAGATCAGCACATCAAATCCTCTCACAGCTTGGTCCATGATCATTTCTTTTTAAGCACCATGTAGCCAGTGCCCCAAGCACCAACTGACACCCTGCTTTCCTCTCAGCACTTGGCCAAGTGCCCACCAGCCTCTGACATGGACACTACCCCTGAGATGTGGCTATACCCTGACAAGCTTCACTCACCAAATCACCTTGAGTTTCATAGTTCTCTCCTCACAAATGACATAACCACACGGATTCAGCTCAGCGTAGTCTTGGAGTCAGGAAGACCTAGGTTGAGTCCTGCCTCTGACACATACTAACTGTGTGACCATGGTCAACTCACTTAATTCTCAGTGCTCCCAGGCAATGAATCCATGCTGAACCAGACCCACCCAGCCTGTATGTAACATGACCCTGATAACCTACTCTATAAGCCTCTTTCCAAGAACTGTTACCTGAGGGGAGCAGAGGGTACTGTTAGGCTCTGCTCTAATCATAATCCTGGCTCTATTGCCTGGGTCACCTTGGACAAGACACTTCAACTCTCTGGACCCTGGTTTCCTCATCTATAAAATGAGAAAGTTGCACTAAATGACCTAAAGTCCCTTCCAGCCCCAAACATTCTCATCTTGGAGAGGAAGGAAGGAAGGAAAGAAAGAAAGAAAGAAAGAAA